ACATTTTTCCTGGAGATTGCTTGCTGGAGGCACTTGAGGGCACCTTTTGCCTGAAGCTCCCCCACACAATTCAGAGCGTTTCTGCGCAAATCAAGATCCGGCAGCCTCGATTTGGAAACACAGGAGGACAACCGGTCAACCCGGGCCTGGGCACATGCGGATGGCCATCGATTGCAAAATGAAGGCCCCAGGTACATACCCAATGTGTGCCCGTGCGCTTTGATTCAGGTTCTTCTGTCATGGGCAGGTTTTATTGGCATGGCCCCTCGCGACCCCGGCGAAAAAGTAGAAGCGTATTTTTTCCAAGGGCTTGTCCAGGATTCAATGGGGCCCATGACGGCACAAAGGACATTTTTCCGCGACTGCAATTGCACAATATCTTGCAGGGAGTCATCTCAGACCCTTTGCTTCCCGGCATCACAATAAGTGGTCATACTTCCGAATGGTGAACCGTTCATGCTTACCTGTTCTCTTGGGTGTGCGCTGTGGTGAGCTGGCTTCGGTGCTGGCCCTGTTCAGCGTTTGCACTTACCGAGTCCTTGGACATTTTTCGTGCCTGAGAACCTCTTGGCTCTTATCAACACAGAGCGGCTGCTCGCCAAAACAAAGCTGGTCGGCCAAAGGCCGAAAGCATAGCAGTTTTGTGCAGAGTGGTGGCTTGAATTTCATGTTTGAGTACCTTAGGGCAGTCACTCCATGAGTTGTTGGAGCGCTTCCTGGTGAACAGACTTTTGCGCAGCCTAGATGTTTCTCTCTTTGAAAGTGCTTGCCCCCCCTACGTTCAAGGGAGCATCATTTTGACGACCCCCGCACATACTAATCAGAGGCAACTGTCAAAGACTTCGAGTCGCACGCCGCAGGCAAGCCAAGTAGTACATGTTTGCGGTAGTGCCATCGATGCATGTGTGAAAGGCGCGACCATCCTTTTCCTTGCTTTAACTTTGACGCATAGATGTTGCATCCGGCATTTATTGCGCATTCTCCCCATTATTGTTCTTTGCGCAAACTTGACGCGCGGTTAGTCGCTCAACGTCAATAGAAAAGGGAAGCTCTGACAGAATTTAAGGAGCTCTAGCTGAATGTAGTGCGCGCTTTTGGTTTGAGTCTGTTTGATGCTGCTCTAACGGTGGCTTCAGGCATTTTGCAACATTTGCCCGTTTGCAGCACGCAGCTTCGTGCGCAGGATTTGACGTGCACAGTAGCGGAAAAACAAAATAATGGCCTGCTTGGGCTCCTCGCGACCCACACGAACCATCAGGTGGCGAGCTATCAGATTCCAATTGTGAGATTATGGTTGCAAGCTCTGCATATGTTATGTTTTGCGCACCCCGCTTGCAGAGTTGCAGTTCGACATGTCGGTGTTTCCATTTTCGGCAAGGGGGCCGGAGAGCAGGGAGTTATGCTGATTTGTGTGTTTCCATGATTTATTTTGAAAGTTGCGAACGATAGAGAACCAACAGCACAAGTCATACAAGTCCAATATTTTGGGGTGTTGAGCTCAGCAAAATTGAGCTCAAACGATTGTTTTAAACACACAAGCAATGCATAGTAGTTTGGTCTGGATCATCGTTTATGACAAACGCTTGGCACATATTAGGTTGAACTCAAATTGCAGGCAGCTTCCTCCACTCCTTGTTTGACGCTCCCAGGCTGCCGGGCGGGGCAAGCCTCGGGTGCGGGCGGCGCCTCTATTGCGAAGCGTCGAGCGAGCCGAGTGCAGCCTTGCGCCCGTTGCAGGTCCCCATGTGCGGGGCACGCGTGGAGGTGAGGGGGGCATGCGGGATGTGTTGCAGGGTTGTCATAGAATTGGCAAGGGCCTTTGCGAGAGATGATTGCAAGAGATGATGGCCAAAGTGAAGATCAAGCGAATGCGTTCTGGAAGTGCCGCAGCTGTGTGCAAGCTGCTCGGATCTCATGTTGACACTATTCGATCTGTTTTGTTGTTGCCACAGAAAGCGCCACAAAAATGTTTTGCTGCTTCAACTGAGTCGCAGAAAATTATGTTTGACAGGATGACGCTTCAGATATGCAGTGCGAATCAGAAAAACATGTTTTGTCCTCTGAAACAAACGCCACCGAGCAGGAAAGAAACATCGTTGCTTTACTTGCCTTTCCCGCCAATGTAGGGCCAGGCCTTCGGCGCGTTGCCATGAACAGTATTGGCAGGTCGTTATTCCTATCAAAACATGTGCAAAGCAATGTCTGCTGTGGTTCTCGGCGCGAAAAGTCTGGATGTTTGAGGATCACTGGCTTCCAGCGGGTGAACTCATTTTCGGTAAACTGCCCAGGACGCTTGCGAGAAGAACTATACTCGACCTGTTGCGATTCATGCTCCAAGCAGAGGGGAGACTCTTGTCAGAGTCACGGGCTTGCTTCCACCACTCAAGCTCTGTTGCGGTGTAGCCGTGCTCTATGTGCCCTGGTTCAAGAGCGGGTTACCACGCGGATTCATAGGGCTCTGCGTGGTTGTTCATGCAGGACTGTGGTCAGTCATTTTACAGACGGTGACTCATGTAGCAGTGACGCTTTGCGCACTTGTGCGGGCCCTCTCAAGACAGAGTAGACGGTTGTGCAAATAGGAAAGATGATTGCATGCAACTGCGTTGGCACCTCGCACATATCATGAGTGCCTCGGGCAACAAACTTGTTGTGACCAAAATGCAAATGATGTTCCTTGCCATGTCTTGTCAATGTGTCGCTTTATTGTTGCCGTTGTTGCCCCGTAATGTTGACATCGGACTAATAACCCCCCTCTCTCCCCCTGAGAAGGTCCAGAAGGTTTTTTGGCCCCCAAAAAAACCATTCACTGAAATATTCTGGAAGGTCTACTGCTAGTATTGGGAAATACTACTCTTGAATTGGGAATGACGATTCCAGAACTCTGATTCCAAAAGGAGCTTCGCTCCTTGTTTCCGCACTGCTGGAGCTTCCTTCTGCACTTGATTTGAGCTTCCATTTATTTGATGTAGTATTGTGGGATTTCACTTTCCACTCGATTTAGTATTGCTGGACCTCCAAATTGGGCGCGGCCCAAATGGCCCAATTTAATAACATGCGGATTCTTCAAACCAGAATGTTTTGAAAGGGAGTTGATAAAGACATTGCACTTTGAGAAAACCACACTCTTCTGGATGATGTTATTTGTGTTGGCTTGGCAATGCTTCATGACTGCGCTAGTACACGTGCTTGGAATCATAAAGGTGGAGCATATCTTTGCAGGCGTGAGGGGGGCCAAATTAATTACATGGGCTCCCATGTCATTTACATGGGCTGGGCACTCAAAGGGGTACCTCATGCGACCTTCTCAAACCATCACTTTTTGAAAGGGATTTAATCAAGAAATTGCATTTTCAGAAAACCACACTTTTTTGGATGTCAGGGAGTTCTGGCTGATGACTGCGTTGGCCTGGCAATGCCTCATGGCTGTGCTGGTACAAGTACTAGTACAAAACTGGTTGTCTTGACATTGCAAAGCAAATGGAAAGCAAATGTAATGTCAGCAAGATTTAGATGAGCAGCATGGACAAAAAGATAGCAGCGGCATCACCAGGAAGGGTTCTTGTAATTGTTTGTATCTTGGGTGGGTTTTTGGGTCTGTTGTGGGGGCTTCATTCAATGAATTCCAGGTTTTCAATCTGTTTATTTTTGGGGGGCTCTCAACCCCCCCAATGACGGAGTTGACATTACAAGGAAGCCCGTAATTAGCTTGATGTGTGAGATGTGGCAGCAAAAATCATCGATTCACACAAGTGTGTTGATTGTCCCGCCTCCTGGCAACTGATATATTTAAAGCAGAGGTAGGCTGTGTTCACATTGTCTGGCCACTGTGCACGCCTGTAAGGATTGCTACCCTTCATGCTGTGATCTACCACGGCTGGCCTCATCGCTGCGCGCTGTCGGCTTTTGGCCGCGCTGTCGTCAAGCCCCGGGTGGCAGTGCTGATTGGGCGCCTGGGAATGGGGGGGCTTGCGGTTGCTCGAAGCCTTTCGAGGAGAAAAGCTCGCCTCACATATCGCATCGCATGAAGCATGAATCAGTGGGAGGAAATGTCTAACTGAGATGTGGGAGTCGTTTCAAAGGCCTTGTAAGACAGTTCAGTGTTCGGCAGACCATCGGTGTTGGTTCAGATACCTCAGCGAAAGATTCGTGATGGAGTTGATCATATATATATATATATTTGTTTGCGGAGGTGTTGCGTAACTGTATGTTGTAAATCAGTGAGATATGAAAGCAGTGCGTGTGTGTGTGTGTGTGTGTGTTTGTTCTGTAGAACCTTCCTTCTATGGCTGAATGAAGACTCTCTGCCGCTTTTGCGGCTTGATCGTTTAGGTGACGCAGCCTGGTACAGTTTGATACTCTTGGCGGGTTAGTGCTCCAAGTGTGCGTGTGTGTGTGTGTGTGTGCGCGTGTGTGCGTTGGTTGGTAGCTCTACGCTCTGAAACGTTGATTGTTCGCGAAACATCCGAGAAGGCCCGCGCGAAAGCGCAGGCTTCGATTCTGTTGTAGTCTCTCTGTTTGCGGAACCGTAGCAGCCCAGGCCAAGGCAAGAGATGCAATCGCAATAGGACACAACCCTATCAAACACACACACACACACACCGGGTACTGTAGATTATTGCAGTGCTTCCACTGGCAACCACGCGGCATTCTTGGGATCAGCTGAAAGGGCTTCACTGGACTGGAAACAATTACGTGTTGCCAATAGAATTTACAGTGCATGAGGGGGCTTCCTTGTGTCAATCAGTGACAGCAAGCGAACGTGTTACCGGGCAATGAGATTGTAGAACGACTGATGTGAACGGGCTCTGTGATGGGGGCGTTTTATGAATCGCAGATTTGTAATAGAGTAGCTATTCCTGACCGTTCCTGACTACCACATTCCGGTATTTCTTTCAGATTTGACTACTTAATTGGGTTTCCAGCTCTTCTGCCTCAGTGTTTGAGAGAGGGGAGTTCGAGGGCTGTAAATTCTGAGGGTTCCGTGGGCATTTAGGGACTCCTCCCTCTTTCCTGTGAATCGGTGTCGAGCAGAGATTCCACTTCGACTCGGCGCCACTCCCTCCGCCCAGTTCGCTTCTCCGCGGAGTTCACAAGAGCGGGCAGCTCTTGCAGAAGCTGCTGCTCAGCTAAATACGCAACGACGGAGACGGCACAGCCGAGACTTGGCTATGGTCCGCAGCTCCCGGATTTTGTGAATTGTTTACCTGCTGAAATTCGCTCAAGCTGCAACGTGTTGTGTATTTCAAAATGGCCACTGGGCTGTCAACACAAGTCCTCCTTCAGCTAATGTTTGTTCTTTTGTGGTTGCAGTATAGGCTATGATGGGTCCAATGCGCAGACCTGTGGTAGCGGACAAAAGTGGCCACCTTTCAACTGAGGCAAAGCGACCTGTGGAGCGGTTGCTCTTTCAAATGCCCGCCTGCGTGGATTTTCTGCCATGGTCTGGGCAGTGGATGTCAGGTTCCCTTGCTGAGTTGGGCAGGAGCATGTTGGATTGATCCCTCGCCAAAAACTAGCAGTGGATAATTACCAAACTACGATTGGGGAACCTCGCAAACCTGTAAATGGAAAGACAAGTATGTGTTTCAAAGATCGCGCAAGCACAAGCACGCTGTTTGTACAACAATCAGTGCTCGGCCCATAGTTGCCCAGCAACAAAATTGTAGAAGCCCCTTTGTATCAATCAGAGGAACACAACGCGTTTGCAAATGCAGGCGATCACTTACGGAGATCTACATTTGGGTGTCCAGGTGCAGTGCAGAATTGGATTGGTTGATGCAGAGGCCGCACTTAATTGCGGTCGGTGAATTAGGCATCATAGTTTGGGACGTTCCGATTTAAGTTGTTGCCAGTCATACGGTATATATGTTGGGTGAAAAGAAAATAGAATGCACCGAAACACGCTCCGCTACGTCGAAGAAGGCCCCCGTCGTATTAGTAAACGAGTATGCTCGCTGCCCTCCAACATGTTTATTGGTCGTAGGCACTTCGATTTGTTCGCCCAGCTGCAGTCATACTGCTGAGGTTTGTTGAGCGTCGCGTGCGCTTCTGGATCTTCATCTATTCTGCACCGCCGCTGGTCTGGGGCAACAATGCCGGCTGCGCCAAGCTTCTGGACGATCTGAGTAGGCAGCTACCAGGCACGGAGAAGCACACTGGAGACCATGATATGTCAGATGTTGAACCCATGCTATGCATTTGGAACAACAAAAAATACTTGGACTCCTGATTACAGTGTTTCAACATGCATGCAGCATCTGAATGTAGCATGTGCTCAAATTGGAACTCAAAACACTATGTGTTTTGAGGACTGTAGTTTGGACATGTTTCCACTGGGAGTTTGCCCAACATGCTTCTTCAGGGCGAGTACAATTCCGCTATGCGACCCGAAGAGAGAACTTGGAGGAGGAGCTATTTGAGAGCACAGTCAACTCCAGGCGGGGGTCCTTATTGCCTTGTATCTCACGGCAGGATGTTTTTTCCTGTTACCTGTTTGAACACTAAGTCTTGCGTTCCCATTATCCAGGTTTCCCACAGAAATGGTTTGAAGCTCCAGGCAAGCTTGCGTTTGGCCTGAGGCATATGAGACAGTGGTACAAGCTTCAGAAGGCGTATGAAATGATGGCAGCCTTCGAGGAAGAGGTGGGCAAAAACTTCGATCTGGTGCTGAAGCTGAGGACGCCCCTTCCTTTTGCGGTTCAGGTCAGCTACAACTCATTGCCATTTAGCTCTTCGCTTTATTCCCAGAATTCCTTTTTAAATGTTCCCCTGAGAGATTATGAGCTCGCAGATTGGAGCTCGTTGTTCTATACACTGGTTCTCTTTCGGATGTAACAAATTTGATGCTTGAGTCGTGATGCGTGCAAGCTAGGGCAGCCGCAGCTGCAAGCTCATTCCAAGCTTTTCAGAGTTGCATGGGTGCACTTCACTTGAGCAGTTTGTCCAGGCAATGTGTGTATATCATTGTTTACAAACTACGTATTGGGTTTCGGCCACCAAAGCTAAACACTGGAAGCAACTGTGCAAGTTCAAGTATGCCAACTCAACGAGCTGTGCCAAAGCCGGAAGCCTCTGGCCCAATCTCTGAGAAGTTGCGTATACGCTCTTCAACTTTTGTTGGAGGGTACAGCAAATATCAGCAGATTACTGTGTAGAGTTTATTATTCTTCCTTTTGCCATGATATTGCAGATCGTCTCAGCTAGTCAGATGTGTTCGTCTTTGATGGGCATCCTGGTCCAAGGCATCCTTCAACGTGTTTTCGCACTGCCTGATCAGCTTACGGTGTACACCTAAGGCTGCAAGCTAGCATGACCCCACTTTACCTGCTTCCCTGCTATGCAGAGGGAGCAGCTGGACACTGGCGGCAAACCCATCACAACGTGGGGTCTCTTGTAGATGTTACTGTGTCTGCTTTCTTTTAGCCAAGGCCTGCACTACTAGTCCTATGGTGCGTGATCTGTTTCCTCACAAGAGGCTTGGCGTCGCAGCATACTGCGCGGCTTCGCCGTGGCACCCTCACAAAAGGCTGGCTGATTTGCAGCTATTTGACCGGTGTACCACATCTAACATGCAGTTGGGGGTGCAATTAAATGGCAAAAGTTTAAAGGTCTTGGATGCTGTCTGCTCTTGCTTACGCCTTTGTTATTCTTGGCCTAGCCTATTTTGGCCTGTCCCCGCATGAATGCTGAAGAGTGTTAGATATGTTTCAGACCACCCGAATAGCTCATGCTGGTATTGATTTGAAGACTCCTTCACAAGCGCATCAAAGTCATCACACCCTCCCCGCTCGACTCAGATTCAGGACGGACATGTTCCTGCCTGGGCCCATCGACTTGGCACAGTTCCCGGAGGTTTGGACCTCACGACAGCTGGATGCGCTTTGGCCTTACCCTTTTGTTTGAGCCTACGGATTTCTTTGGCGGCAAGAAAATACGGAAACCATGTTTCCCGATTCAATCAAGTGTGGAAATTGGAGTAGCACGGTCAACACCATTCGAAGGTATTGGGCCTAGCCCCACTGAATCCCGCTTTGCAATTGTGGCGCTACTGGTCCCCTGTCCGAATAGAGTGCCAGAAGCGGGAGTTGAGTCCCTGAATGAGGTTGCTCCATGCAAAGGAAAATGACAGTGGGCTTGACACAATGCAAATGTATGTACTGTGTGCGTCGCCTATTTCTGCCCCGGGCATCCCAAGAAAGTTCTCGTGATGTAGGCACCTCTAGGAAAAGGCTTCACATCCAAGGAGTGATCTACGGCTTCACGGATATTGCCTTCCTTTGCCGTCGGGATGTTGCACACAGCCTGCTGGCGAATGTGCCTCTTGTTTGCGTTAAAACAGTTTGGCGGTGATCAAACTTGGCTTTGAGGTTCAGGGCTTATGTTCCAAGTGTTTGGGGTGGGTAGATCTGCAAAACTTTGGTTTGAGGTGTATTCAGGTTTTTCCTGTGAGTGGAGTCTCTAGTTTCAATATAGGGTTGCCTGAAGAAGATCGCAAAAGTCGACCAACGCCGAAGGGTGCACCAGTTTGCTCGGTGGTGTCACCTTGTGTATTATTTTTTATGAACCAGATGTCTACCGCTGCTCAATTTGGGGGTGCGGTTCTCGCCTTGGCGGCTTCGAAATGGCGTGCGTGGATTCCACATTTCACAAACAAGGCAACCACAAACCAGTGGCATTATTGTAGGAAACTCCCGGCTTTATACTTGTAAATAGCTACAACCTTTTTCGCAGTTGTCCCTGAAATCGAGTTGTGAACCTTGTTTACACAGATCCATCAATTCCATTTGTAAGCTGTGATAGGTAATTTCAATAAAGTGTTCCTCTGGCACAGTGTTGACTGTTGTCCGTTGGACGGGAGGTGCAGAAAGGGGGGCCATATGTATGTCTCTACACATATATGTATATATCTTTACACATATGCATAAGGGGGGTGGTGTTTGTTGATAAATCACATTTCATCATCCACGGATGCAAAGAAGATGTCACGGAGGCAGGCCCACACTCAACAGATGCGCTAGTTTCATTGAGGTGTCTTTGTAGATGTCTCACTTCGGCTCTGGGCATTCCAAAGATGGAGGTTTGGTTGTGTTTGAGTGCTGCATGTACACCATTGCTTCATGATTCTCTACTTGAACCGGCCTCTCCCTGCAGGCGCCCCCTATTTGTTTGCTGCGCTTTGTTTTCCAAGGACTGGAAAGCTGACTCAATTTGCAGGCAACCAGCGGACACTTGTATTCCTGGACTACCGCAGGCTCCTACGGAATGGCGACCTGGCAAAAGTGTAGCTCATTTGTGTCCAAGGATTCCTAGAGACTTAGCAATATCGATTATTTTGATCACTAGAGCGCACGCACCAGAGCCTTGTGAAAAATACCAAGAAGTTTCTTCAGAGAACAACTTGGTTGTCGATAGTCAATTGAGACAAGCCACACCTAAATATGTTCAGCGATCCCTGACATCGCAGCACGTTGCACTTTGGCAAGCCACACATTCCGTTCGATTTCTGGAGATTGCAAGCCGATCTGGGCTTCACTGTTTGATACCACCAGGTATGCGTAAATCACATACCAGCAAGGAGAGGAGTGGCAGCAGCTTATTGTTTCAGCTGGGGCAATGAGCACCCTGAAACGCGCACAGCCCTTTCAGATGACATACTGGTGTGCCCTGTCATGCCTGTTTGATTCGTTTGTGGGGTAGGCTGCCGTTGGAGTTTTCAAGATGAAGCTGTGACGTTCTGTGTCTTTGCGCTAGTTTTTGGTATGTTTGCATCCTCCTGTCTGCGGCCAGAGTGGCCACCCTGCCAAGGTTGGGGGGATGGCTTCAGACTGCAGACGTTTCCCGATGCTAGCCGCTTGGATGCAGTGGTTGGAAGGGAGGAGCACTTTTTGCGGTTGTGCTTGCAGGGAGATGAACCCCCGATTTAGAAACCAAATCCCCTTATTCAGCAATCAGAATCCCGAGCGCGATTTCAGTATTTCCTGATTCTGCAACCAAAACATGCGCTGTAGGCACCAAAGCTACGGCTTCCGCTACCACCAGCTTCCGCTACCAAAACCGACGATGCAATGAACAGCCCAATTCAGCAAAGCATTTCCGATCCGGCTTCCGGCTCCGATGCAACCAAACCTGTCGATTCAAATACTTGTTATTTCTGAACTCCGAATCCTTATTGTTTTCCTAATCATGTGCTTGTTTCCGAATCCGGCTCGGTGCCGCAACAATTTGTTGGTGTCCGAAGCATTCTTGGTTTCCGGTGGTTTTCAACGCAGATTGACATGTTCAACGCAAATGTGCGTGCCCGAATGTTGCTTGTTTTCCGAAGCAAACCGTGCAATACCGCGATCAGGCCAATTGTTTGCGGCCATATTAGCTGGTGGGGTCGGTCAGGGTCCACTTGCTATACAGTAACATAAGCGGAATGATCCCGCACATGTGACAAGTTCTTGACAAGGGCATCTATCAACTCGATTGCCTGGCGCGCATCAACTCTTCGGACCAAAGCAATGCCGCCTTGGCGTTGGCAATCAAACTGCTCCATACTGCTCCCACCTCCCGCAAGGGTGGCTGCAGCAAGCAGCTATTTGATACATCCAGGGTTTGAAGTGCAAGCATGTGGAGTGCGACCGTCACGCGTAGCGTAGCCCTGGGCCGAAGTCTTTGATTGGTTCGCTGCCCCTCAATGTGGGGCTTGCAATTAAGGGATTGCAAGATTGGTTCACACGCACACCGCTGCCCGAAGCCCTGCTGGACTTGGCCGTGCGCTTTGGCCATTTGCTCTTTGCCGCGTAAGTTGCCCAGGCCCGGCCCTGAAGCGAGCCGTCTTTGCCGGAGAGGGGCGCGCAGTCTTGGCCGCGGTGCGGCGGCATTTGACTGCCCTGGAAGCGGCCCACCAGGAGTGCTCACGGCCTAAGGGCCTAAGGGGCTCAGGCCTGGCGAGTTTGGAAACGACAGAGGGCTTAGAAGCACCAGACTTGCCATTTTTCCTGGGGTTTAATGGGGATCGTCGACACCACCAGCAGGTTTCCATTGTGGAGCCCCGACCCTTCCCATGTAAAGAAGCTTGCAAACAGCATGTCGATCTTCGAGTTGGCTGTTTTGGATATCAATAATGCCTGTCCAGAGCTTCCTTGCCCCGCATCTTGAGATGCGGAATGAGTATCACTCCATCCGTTTCATCTCGGACAGACAGACAGGAACATGAGGGCCCGATTTGGTGCAGATGGCAAGTGTCTTGCGAAGCATCTCTTCGTAGCATGTTTCCTCTCATCCCATGGTGCAACTTCTCCAGCGGACATAGCCATCCCCGATAATCGGGAAAACTTGAGACGCGGTGATGAGATGCTGCCAGCCGTGATCTATTTGGTATGGATTGTTATCAAATTCTGTTTGTGGGCATGGCTAGTTGAGTTGTTCGCAGGTCTTCAGATGTTGGATGCCACAAAATAGGCCCACCTCAGTTGCTGCTATCCTTTGGAATTCATGAATGTCACTACCACCAACGGAAGCAGACTTGCCCAAGGTTGGACGGCTTTCGGGGGAGAAGCCGAAAAGGACATCCTATTGCACTTGGGGTCACACAACTGCACATGTATTCGGGGATCAGAGAGAGAGGCAAGGCGACCCTTGTCGCATACAGGGGTAGCTTGATATCACGGGCGGGCTCCGCTCAGCCGGCAAGGATGCTGCACGGGGGCTGCCAGTGGCCACCTTCTCAGGGCATTGGAGGCGGGGCTTTCAGGTGTGCCTCGGTCTGGGTCAGCCTCGGCCTTCACCGCGGCAGCCAAGCCGAGATGGTGGGAAGGAGGTCTGGAAGTCAACAGAGCCAAAGAAAATAACCCGTGGTATGCGTCAATGTAAGGCATGATCTCAGTTGTTTTGGACCTATCAAATCAGCTGCACCGCCGCTTGTAATTTGAAGGACAGGAGTGTGTTGCAGGAGCTCGCAAGTCAAACATGGGGCTGCGCAAGTAAAGCGCAAGTGAAGCGCAAGTGACGCAGTGATTCATCATCATCATCATCATCGTCATCGTCATCGTCATCGTCATCATCATCGTCATCATCCCCATGGCCCAAAGATTAACAAGTTTTCACGCAAGTCCCATGCAATTCGAGCGCAGCCCGCAGATGCCCCCAAACTGCTTGGTCCAATTCTGTGTTTTGGCATTTTCTTTTTTCTGCAGATCCCAGCAATTTTGCCGAGTGAGTTTGTTAGCAGAAAATTTGCAGCGGTATACACGTGAGACCTCATACACTTAATTACAGGGGCATGCTATTGGGGGATCTCATGCTTATGAAGACCGCCGCTTGGATTTGCAATGAGAACGACTTGGGATAAGAGTTTTAATACGTTTCTTTTTTCTCCAGCTCCAGACCTCAAGCGAATTGAACAAGGGTCCGCCAGGACCTCTCCTTGTCCCTGAAAAGAAGATGACACAATCGCCAAAATTCAGTGTTGCCTTGTGTTGCAAAGGGGCTGACATTGTGCATGGGCACCCACACGGCCCAAGTAGAAGGAGCAACATACTAATAAAATCACCGTGTCTGTCCCAGTTGGGAACAGCATGAACAGCTGAATATTGAGACTCGCGGCTACCGGAAGCCTGTCGTTTTATGGTCTTTGACTTCAGATTTCGCCCGTGACGCAAGCTGATGAAGGTTTTCCTTGGCCCAGTCGTGACTCCTGGCCCTGATTTCGAGCGGGCCTGACACCAAAACCGCAGGGAACACTTCAGGCAGAGCCATCCAGGCCCTAGAACATGAAATGATCGCCTAAGACATGGTGACCATTCGTGTAAGTACAAGTACCAGCCAGGCAATGAATCTCATCACCTAGCAGAGTCTTCCAAATGTTATTTGCTTACATGAAGAAGACTGGGCGTAAGCGCAGAAACAATGCATCACTGCTGGTTCTTGATGGGCTAGGCTAGCAGCTTCCCTGCAGTTGGAATCAAAGATGTCAAAACCTTTTCGAGTTATGACCTCATTGCAACTAGTGAGTAACCTCGGTGCTCATTTGATCCAGCTCAAATGACTCACTGGATGGAGAGCACGACAGCTGGACGCATTTTGGTAAGTGATACTAAGAACATTGACGTAACAACGTGCGGATTCGGCTGTCACTTGTGTGTCAAAACTATTCTTTCTCTCACACGAGCAAACCAATCCTTTGATTGAGGTGTGACATGTTGGTTTTACTCTGCGTTTGAGCGCCTCCTTTTTGTCGTAGCCCTTTAGGGCCTTTAATAAATTCTGGCTCAGTCTTGGGGTGCCAAGAACATTTGCTCTTTTTAAGTGAGACCCGTCTTTTGGCGGGCGCTCGCTGGCTGCACTGAAAGTAGAGATTTGAAGCAACGTTCTTAATTCGGGCAGAACAGGTGCCCTTGTTCCCTGCGCTCGAGGCTGCAACCATTCAGTTTGGTTGACTAGAACCCAAAGCGTGTGCTTGACTCCGAAGTAGAACCCGTGCGCTGAATTGATGCATTTTAGCACGCGAAATCGAGCTCAGGTTCAGACCAGACACAGTGGAGTTCCAAGCGTGGCAGCGGGACGGCAAACTGGCACCCGACACACAGATGTGCTCTGTGACACGGTGGTTCTACCTCATCCACAGGCGCATCTCGGGCAGTACTAAATGAGAAAATGGGAACCCCGCCAGTGTGAGAGTAGCTGGGCCCACGTACTTTCATGGAAGCTAACAGGAAGGAGGAAAGGGGCCACGATGCTTTGAGGAGTTCCCTGCCTCTACTTCCAGACCTGGAGAGAGGGTAAGGAGGCCACTAGCGTTCTGGCATTCGATACATTCTAAGCCGCAGCGAGCGGAACTGAGGGGTAAAGGAGTTGGATTTGCGCAGGTCGCGTTTCAGGAGGGATTACCGTCCGAAACATTGTTGCTTGGGTTACAAGGGGTGGCTGCAGCAATAAGCGTTGAAAAGTTCTAATAGCAACTATATGGATTTCTGTTTGATAGCAGTGCCAAGGTCCGGCCTTTGAATGGAGCTTCCTTTGAAGGGGGTTATGCAATTTTCCGGAAAGAAGGTTCAAGCTTTTGTTGGCTGCTTCTACATGTTTCTGCGGGAGCAACTTCACAAGTGTTGGTCTGATAGTCTGATGTGTGTGTTTGTGTGTTGTTAGTGCTGACGGGCGCTGTTTGGGTGCCAGGACAACACCAGAGGTCAGGCTGCGCCCGTGGCCCAGCAAGGCCGGCGTGGCACGCGGAGAGGGGGTGTTCGGTCAAAAACCAATTTGTTGTCTGCATTGCCTTTTGATTGTTAAACAAGCATTCTACCATTGTCCGTTGAGGCACTTCCCACACATGGACTGACCATGTCACAGGTGAAAGGACCGGCGTTTAGTGAATGAGCCGAGCTCCCTCACTGAAGCTATCTGAGTTAGTTGTACAACAATCCCAGATTCCAGGGATCCTCCGGGTAAGATTCAACAACGGGATCACATGAGCGCTGGTCCCAATAGTTTCCAATAATGCCATTGAGCTTACATGAAAGGCAAGGTTTGTGTCCAAACCACTGTCCTTTCCTGAAAGCTTCACAATGATGCAAGCGCGCTTATTTCATGCGAGGCCGGAATATGTCGCACCTGATGTTGTGGCCTGTTGTCTGCCTGCAGCACAGCTGTGGCTTTGCTTACATTTACAAGAGGTGTTGCATTTTTCCTTGACTGATGGGGAAATAGAGGGGCCAACCTGGAAACCTTCACGCTTCCAATTTTCAGGTAAATCGAGTCCTTTGTTTCCTCCAAACAAACAATTCTAACAATCCAGGTTGGAGCATTTGCATCGTGCATCCTTCATCATACCCACTGACATAAAATTGGACTTACTTGCACGGGCATCGAGTTTGCAGCGGGAAGAAGGCTGAAGGATGCCGTACGTTTGTTCTTTGTTTGTATTTTCTGATGTTGCAAGTAGGGAGCAAGCCTTCCCTGTACGTTCCCACATTCTGATTTGGGAGCTTGAGTTGCATTTTTTAGGAACGCACCACATCCCTGATGCTGAATCAACGGTTTGTTTTTCTTGAACCAAAGCCAACGGTCGAGTTCACCCAGGGGTCCATTGACTCAGTTGTTTGAAGCTGACGTCTGAGACACTTGTTATGTGTTTGTCTAGTTTTATGTGTGGCCTAACTCAACGCCTTTGAGACACCGGTTTGCGGAAGAATACGATAAACAGCATGGATCACAGACCTTTCGCTCATTCTCAGACAGAGTTTAGTGCTTGCTCCTCCAGCGGACCCACCCAACATCCGCCAAGTAAAAACGAAGCTCCCGGCAACCTGCGGCCAGCCTGGCACGGTGGGCCTCTTTCCATCGCGTTTCGCCTGGCACTGCAACTGCGAGCCGCCGGGCTGCTGGCCTTTGCTTTGGGGTGCCATGGCGAAGGCAAAAGAAGGCAGGGGGTGAGCCTTGCTGACCTAAAGGCTTCTTTACTGAGCCAGGTGTGGCTGTCCCGTTCAATCCGTTCACCATGTAGTAGTTTGGGTCAGTTCGGGTTTGTACTTGTTGGATGGTTGGTAGGGGTAAAGCTGGTGCTAAGGCAAACAGGACATAAACTGTGAGGGGCAACACACAGGCAAGGCACCCTCCCAGTCCAGAAGCAGGATGGTGGCGCAAGTTGCTTCAGTCTCCCCCTTCAGCTTTATAGGAAAATTGGCAGGAGACTTAAAGGATCATCAGCAAAGACAATTGATTAAACAGGCGTGGGAGAGAATTGAAGACGGCAAGCCGGAATTGAATATCCGTTTGAGGCCAAGATTCAGGGTTTGAACGCACTTGTGGCAAATAGCTAGTACATTTTGTGAACTGGACGGGTTGTTACATATAGCATGTTCCAGCTACGCACCTTGGATTGGCTAATTTTACAGAGCATACACTGCAGATCCCAGACGGAAAGTGGGCATTTGTTCGTGTCAGGTGATTCAGTAGGCAGTTTGGATTGGTGATTTGAGGTTTGGACCCACCAGCAGTGCTTCAAGCCAAGAGAGAATGCACCCCCCTCCCTATAACCCTTCAAAACCACAGCTAATTTGGATAGAGGTTCCCCTCTTGGAACATCCCATGGTTGTAAAGTTGTAAACCGTTGTACTTGGCGGTCATTGCTTTTGGAATGAGTGCAGTTTGTCCCCTAGAACACGGTTTCGTGGATTCATGTGGGAACACGTGACATCCATGGCCGATGCCATAGTATGAAGCACGGTCAGAATGGGTGCACAAGCCCAACTGAACATACAAGATCCCGATTTGTTTTGGAGTGCGCAAAAGGAATGGGAACTCAAACAGGCGAAAATTCTGAATCATAGATACGAGCATGACCACTGAAAAGCAACGGGGGCCTCTAAAATGAATGCTTCTGTCCTTTCAACAAGTTTGTTTGCCGGATCCTCATGGGTTTGGCGAGGAACTGTCGAAATCGCAGTTTGGAGTGTGGATGTTTAGTCCGCGTTTGCGGACTTGCGACGGTGGATGCCATTGGCATGGGAGGTTCCAGCCACCTTCTCACGTCTGCAACTCCAAAACCTGACTAAATTGTGCGGGACAGGCAGGTTGACTATATGGCTCTGTTGATCCCCTTAGGTTAAGCAGGCGTTTCCGTGTCATTCCAAGGAAGTGCCGAGGCTTGTTTGGGTGCCCCCGCTACCGAGAAGATTGATCCCGTGCCAGATACTGGTGGTCCGGCTAGCTTGGCAACTTGCTTGTCTTCGGGGGAAATAATTGACGCTTGACGGACTCGAATGACCAGCCAATGACTAGAAGTCGCAAATCTCAAGTTGTTCGACTCAAGTGACGGTCCCGACAGAAACCTGGCACCCCTGAGGCCGGATTGTGCGAGTGTAGACCAAAGCGTTGCTCGGTGCTCAGGTGCCGCGCCCCGGGAGCTGGTGCGGTCCGTTGAATGGCTGCAGCGCCCAGAGGACGGCCAGTGGCAGCTTGGCTCGGGTGAGCGGGGTGACAGTGAGCAGGGTGAGCGACGCTTTGTGGCGGAAGTGTGCTGCCAAAGAAGGTTTCAGGTTTCAAGACCGGCGCCCAATAGAAACCTCACGACAACACAGAGTCCCACAAGACCCAGGGTCCGGTGACGATTGGAGACAAGTTCTTCACCTCGGTTGTTGTCCCACATGTACCTTTCGATCTAGGGATTTTCCGCGACTTGTTGATCTCACTCAGCGAAATACTGTCGCATGCAGAATAATTGAAAGAAGCTGTGGGCTTGTGTGTATTTGCAGACTGAACTTCGCAATGGACGTTCGATCGCCCATGGCTTTCTCCCGCATCCGAGACACGGCTTTCGGATGCTTTCGGCACAGTCCTACGACGCTCCATGCGCGTTTGCCTTCGGCGTGGGATGAGCACAGAAGGCCAAGCAACCAGTTTGACTGACCTAGAAGCACGCCACCCAGAAATGTTTGTCCTTGACAAGCTCAGTAAATAGGCTCAGGGCAACTGCGCATTGGATTAGTATGCGTACTTGGTTTGCCCCCCGCCCCCTACCCCCGCCCCCCCTCGTCGGGACGGCACTGCTGCGTAAAGGCAACGATGGAAGTGATCAAAACCTCAAACAACACCCTGCAAGAGGGCTTCACAAAGAAGGGACCATTCAGAAATGCAAAGGTTTCTTTGTGGGCCGTGTCCTGGCCAAACCAGTTAGCATGATGGGTGGTGTCAAACATGCTGAAGACAAAGCAGGACGGAAGTGTTTGTGTGTGTGTCTGTGTGTCTACCCATGGTGATGAGGCTACCGATTATTGTTAGCCGAATTGTCCTTTCCAGCGCATGCATGTTTCCTTTGGTTTAGTCCTTTGCCCAGGGTGACTGCGAGTTCATTCACCGCCCACGTCGACTCTTGGCCGGGCTGGAGGCAAAGGCAGCTGATGTCATGTGTTGTTCTGCAGTTTGGTCGGATGAGGGACCCAATGAATCACAGGATAGTGGGGGTTAGTCAATTTTGCAGGATGTTGATCTTGAGGGATGGGAATGCTTTTGTTGCTTTGCTGTTGCTCCGGAATGAATACTGGTTCTCCCTCTGTTTGGCAGGTCGGGTTGTGGCAGAGTCCCGCACTTTATCTGCCCAGTCGGGTCGGTCCTGCCCTAAGCCACACCTAAAGTCACCCAAGATCAAAATTTAAGAGAAAACAAACACAACCCAGGACCACAAATGCCCAAATGAGTTAAATGACGGTGAAGCAATCACCCATAAGGTAGAAGCAAGCAATCTTAAACATCAGCAGGGGCAATCTTAAACACCATGAGTTTGGGCTTTGGGTGGCTTTGGGCATGGGTTTGGGGCTGTGTTGTGGAGGTTGGTCGTGGGACTGAAAGGGTCAGGAGGCGTGATCGGGTGGGTGGCTTTCCTCAGACTAGGAATAGCTTGTCGTAGACCAAAAGTCAGCTTTCCCTAGGCAATCATTTAGCTTTCCGTATGCTAGCGAAAGTTAGTTCCCGTAGCCCAACTATAGTCGTTGAACCTTGCCGTAGCCTAGCATTTTGCCACCGGCATCGGCCCTCCAAACCTAGAAGCTTGGCGAACCTCGGAACAACAAAAACCTTCTGAGTCGAGCTAAGGAGCCTGCCAACGATAGCGAGCTGGAAAAAGTGCCGAGGAGCATTGCTGGCATTGCAAAGCTTTTGGCACTCGGCAGACAGCTATCGCAAGCCCCAACTCGCCTGGGTGAGGAAATGTTATTTTGTGAGGCAGCATGGCGCTTCTGTGCCAAGTGGCTCCTGCACTGGAGACAGACGAGGACAAGGGACATCAACCAGGAACGTAGTAGGGTCAAGGAGCTGTATTGGAGCCAGCATGACCATTTGACATGTTAGCATCTTTTGGATATTTGTACAGACTCGCAAAGAGACCACTTTGATTTGCATGCATACTCAGACGTTTGATGTGTTCCTTCTTGACTTGGAAAAGTGAGAGGGGCCTGGTGCAGGAGCTTCAAGCCCTGTACAACTGGGTGCCGGACCTCAGCTGTTCTCGAAACCAGACCAACGAGGAAGATGGTGGCCTTGATGGCACTTTACCTGTCTTGCTCTTCGAAAGAACGTCGGCCCAATTTGAGCCATTGCCATGTCACGATGTGACTTGGAGCCAAACCCAGCTGAGGTGGATGAAATTCCTTTGTCGCGGCCAAAGCGCACAATCTCCAGGGACTTTGCTGATGGAGTGCGCACCTCAAACGCCCATTGTGAATTGGAACTGTAAGCGTCAAGATTGAGGTGTGATGCAGACGCATTTTTAATTTCTTGCAATGCTGGGTATGTCAAGTAAACATAGTCCAAAACCTTCTCAGTGGCGCTGCATGCAAGGCAATATATCCCTGTTCTGGACAGAATGCCTTACCACATCGACAGAGTTTTTTTGGGGCAAAAGCGCCTTTAGAAGATTGTTGGATTCAAAGGAGACCATATGCAAACCAACCACTTGGAGTACTTTTGAGACTGCCCAGAGCACAGGGCTATTTGACAAAATGCTTCAGACAGTTTTGAATCAAGGTTTCATTTGAGATGAACCATGCCCACACAGAGAGGAGAGGGGCGTTTTGACCTAGGCTAGAAAACTTAGACATCCAGCTTGTCTATCAGGCCTCAGTCTGTTGCACAGTGCCAAAGGTTGAGCTCCGCAGGTTCTTTTTGCCGAGATTGTGAACCACTTCTTCCCCAGGCATCGTGCGGTTGGGTTCCGTTGGCGCCTACGAAGCGGACACGTACTATAGCTGGTTTTGTGTTAAAGCGTTTCAAGACAGGTTGCTCATGCAACGCGGACAAGATGCTGCAATGAGTGTATGGTTGTCGAAGCCTGTCTCGCAACACGAAAGTGTGCCAAAACGGGCCCCCATTTTGGCCCGAAAAGCAGCGCGCTCAGTTTCTTTCGCGAAAGCTAAAAAACAACTTTTAAACTGCGGGCCCAGATTCTAGGTCCGTTTTTGTCACTTATTTCTGGCCCCAACCTTCAACCGGTTTGTGCGGCGGCGGTGGCAACGGCACAACCGTCGTCCTTGGCCAGAGGAGATCTCAACGAGGACACAAGCGTCGGCCCCTCCAACTTGAAAGAGTCGCATGCGCAAACAGCGGATGTTTCAAGTGGCTTCACTGTCTTCTGTCCGCTCCAACAAGCACGCAAATTATCGTTGCGGGCTTGCATATGTTGCAACAAGGAACAAACCGATTCAAAAATCGAACCCGCCTCCAAACCGTAGCTTGCTAACTAGAGGCGCGGCCCAAGTCATCAGCTTGACAAAGCTAAACTAAACAAACCGTGGATCTGCCAAGTTCCTTCGCAGAAGGTAACGTCGCACAAAGTGGCTTTGATGGCCCGCCAGGTCTGTCCTTCGCGTTGCGGCTCTGTGTTCCTTGGTCTCGTTGGGTGGGCCTGCGGTGGCCTTGCTTCGTTCCACGCCACGGCCATGGCAACTGCCACGCACTGAATCCTGTTCGTTCGTGCATGTGTGTGTGTGTGTGCTAGAGGAGAACGATGGCCTTGATGCAAGCCACGAGACAAGCCAGGAGAAGCAATTCAATGGGCACTCGTTTCCAAAATAGGGTGTTGAGCAAGATGTGTTTAGACTTTAAATAGAATCCAATCAGAACAACACACATTAGAGCTCTTATTCTAAATTCATTTCAGAAAACAAAAAAAAACACGACATTATATAAATTAAATACGGAAAGAGTCCAATCATAGGTTCTCTTCTAGATTAAATCAAAAAGAAAACGCCTTCTGTTCAAAATTAGAGCTCACATAGCAGTTTCTGTACAATAGCTTGATAGTTGGAAAAGGTAAGTATCTGTTGGACAAAAAGTTAGCAAGGACGTGTTTTAACTTGAATTTTCATTTTAAGCTGGAATCCCAATGGGAATTCCTTCCCGAAAGGAAATTGAAAGTACTCCTCAATCAGAACTCTGAAGTAATGCAATTAGGATGTCATGGTAATTCCAATAGGAAGTATGTCTTCAAATAAACTTTAAGCCATTCAAAAAGGAAGGAACTTATTCGGAGGTTCCTCGGCAAAATTTGAGTCCAAATAATTTGACAAGCACTGACTTCACGCGTGATACTGTTTCAATTTAGGGCTTCTGATGCAATTCTTATTTCAACAATAGTTTAAGTAATAAAAAGTTAGACATAGAAAACAGGAAGTATAATTCTAAGTTGGAATTATTCTACATTGGAATTCAATGCCAATTTATTTCCCAATAGCAATGTGTTTAAAACAGATTTCGAATTGATATGTATACATTCATTGGGGAGCGAGTTTTATGCAAACCCTGATGTAAGTTGTTGTTTTTTTCGTAAGGAATAGGAATTGAACAAAAGCTAAGTATATTTACACTGATTAGCACATGGAGTAGCACAGCAGATAATAACCGACAGCCGGAGCACTTCAGGCAGGGAAACCTTGAGAAAACCAAAAACAACTCGAGAAAACCAAAGCAAACTACAGAAAACCTCGGGAAAAGAAACAAGAAAACCTTGAGGAAACTAGAAATACCAAAAAGTTCCAACAATTCCAAGCCCTTTGTTGGAGGCCTTTGGGAGAAGACTCTCTAGTCATTGTTTTGGGTTGTCGCGAGTTTTGGCTGGTTTTGCGGAGTTCTTGTTGGCTTGCTCGAGGTGGTGTTTGGATTCTTCTTAACCAAGATGCAGGCTCAGATTCCAATATCTGGGGGCCTCCACCAAAGAGTTTGGAATTATGCTAGTTGGTTTGTTCAAGGTTTTGCTTGTGTTTTTCCAGGCTCAGATGCAGATGGCTCACGGTTCGCACAAGCAAGCATGTGCATGTTGCCTAGTCACCAGGCGCATGCACAAAGGCAGCATCTCTTGGAGCGGCCGTTCTGTTTCCTATGCAGGTTGGTGGAAATGCACAACTACAGCTCAGTCGCTTGGCGTGACCATGAAAAGGGCGTTTACCAGTGCCTGAGCTTGGACTTGCAGGCTTTCAGCAAGAAAGTGAGGGAGCTTCCCTTTGCACACCCTTTGCACATGTTTACGGGTGAGGCATCCTGAGAAAGTAGATGCATGGACGCATTAGTGGTGACTCAAACCATTTGCGCTGTTTTTTTTACTAGTCAGTTACACGCATGTAAGTTAATACAGAGACGGACAGAGAGACAGGGACAGACAGGCAGACACAGAAACACGCACACAGACAGAGACAGAGACAGGCAGAAATAGACACGGGCAGACAGGCAGACAGGAATACAGGCATACATGCGTGCATACATACATGCATACACACGCATGCACGCATATACGCGCATACGCACATACACAGAGACAGAGGGAAACAGAGAGAGAGAGAGAGAGAGAGGGGCATACTTACACATACATACATCAATACATGCATACATTACATTACATTACACTACACTACACTACAAAACACTACACTACACTACACTACATTACACATTACAGAACATGCATACATACATGCATACATACATGCATACATACATGCATACATACATATACACACACACACACGTGCGCAC